ACTGAAGAAAGCCGAGCGAAGCTGGCAGTGGCAGGCTACCCCAAGTACCCTTCTTTCGGAGTCAGACTGCAAAAACTCTCTGCTGTCTGCCTGCTTAGCCCTCCCTGTTGCTGAAGCTGGTCAAAAGTGGCTCTCCTGAAGCTCTCAAGGGCAGCTCCGTAAATGATCCAAGCCCTGAACACTTCCAGCAGCTCAGAGAACAGGCCTGCCAGATCTACAGCAAAGGAAGGTCACTGCCCTCCCCACTGCCGGCAGGGCAGAGCTCTTACCACAGATGCCACACCAGCACCGAACACCCTGCCAACCTGGCCTCGAGTAACCCCCTCACCTGAGGGTACGTACTGATGAGGTGAGGCAGACCGGCTTGCCAACCTATGGCGTTCCTTGGTAGTCATTTGAGGTCTGAAAAATAAGATGTGTTCACATATGGACAAATCCCTTGCCCTGAAGCGGACTAACCACTTCACAGCACACGAACTTTGCTGTGTTAAACGTGTTCCTCTGGTCTCAAACTAGCCCAGGACACCGTGTAACCAGCCAATTTTCAAGATTAGAGCTTCCAGGTTCCAGTCTCCACAATGACTTATGTAACTAAAGTGTGTTACCCCACTCTTAATGACAAAAGAGTCACCATCCAGCCAACATTTCAGTGGGTGCACATGGACGATCTGCACATGTACAGAAAGCTGGTTGAAAGGTTACTCTCCAAAACTGTTCTACCTTTGAAGAGGGTAAAGGAGAAGGACAAGTCAAAAAGGTCTTTACACTAATATCTGAATTTTAATTTTCTTCACAAAAACACCTTTACACAACCAGCCACATTTCTGAGTCCTGGGGGGTTCCACTGATAGCAGGTAGATTTTAGGTGTAGACCTAAGTCTATCCAACTTCCAAAGAATTCAAGTCACTGAAGTTTGCATCATTTTGTCTATTATACCTATTTCACAGATGATGAAACTGAGCCCTGGGAGGTGAGCTTGCCCAGGTTCCCGCAAGCGACGGAGTCAGCATTCAAATCCGTGTGATTTCAAGCAGAGTCTTCTCTTCATATACGAAAGGGGACAAAGAGCCAGTTACAATCCTAGGGTGACCTTTCCTGCCTACGGGAAGCAGAGATCCCCAACACTGGCTAAGACGCGGGGAAAGGCACTCTGTTCACCATGCGGACGGGCGTGTAGCAGGTACCTTGCAGAAGGGACTTGGCAGCACCTGTCAAGCTTTAATATCAGCAATTTCACCTGCAGAAACCTAACCCACAGGAAATTAAACCAAAATATTCACTGCTGCACTAGTACTCATTATGAAGAGGCCCATCCATACAATGGAATACTATTCACTCACAAAGTAACACCACGTATATAGTCTGACGTAGAAAGAACCACAAAATAAGCCACTGTTTTACAGGCACTTACTGGTTTTAAGTTATTTTTTTTAAAAGTGCTAAATCAACACAAATGAAACAAGGGGCCATTAGAAACTTGGAATAGCATCAATGGAACTTTCCAGTTTTGCCAGGGGCCAAAACATCTGTGTTGGCCCCTGAAAATCCTCTTGCATCAGAGACTGCTGTCTATGGCGCGTCACAGCAAGAGCACACAGGCCTAGCCCAGGGGTGAAACCACTGGGTTTTGCCACGCCAGATGCCTCAGGACAACATGCCGAGTGACAGCTCAGGCCTTCTCCTACCTCAGATATTGTCCCCATGAAAACTCCACACAGCCCAGAAATGCTCCAGCTCGGAGTCTGGAAGCCAGATCTATGAGTGAAGGTCACCTGAAGTGATGATCAAAGCTGTGACAGCTTTCACGGAAGGCGAGCAGGCACCACAACCACGCCATCAGAACCACCTCCTTCCGCTAACTAATTCCAGCAGGGGACTCTGCCGCTGAATTATAGAATAAACAAGGGTTTCCTAGGGCAAAATCTTTCCCATCACCTCATTTCAAGAGTCCAGAGTATCTGAAGATTCCCAGCCTCATCATAACTAGATAGCTAAGTACCATGGCTGCAGTGCCAGATTGTAACAACCTATGTGAAATAAAATGCAATGACATGAAATCTGCTAACACACTCACTGTACCTCTCAACAAACCTAGGGCAAGTTGTACCAAAAATGGAATGGTTCTGGTCACTCTAATTTTCTAAAATTAACTGTGTTGCCCAGGTCCCCAGTGAAAGGCCCCATTTCAAAATCATTTCTTGGCACCGTCCACCTTCACTGTACCCTTGGGTTGACTGATCCTCTGGCCCAGACCTTGGCTGGCCATCCCCTTACTGTAAAGGAAGCCAGCCCCTGCTTTCACTGTTGCAGGGAAACCTGAAGGCCTAAAGCCACAATTACTCAAGTTCAATGAGTCCCAACAGTCCTGAAAAAGACAAAAAAAAAAAATTTAGAAGACTAGTTTTTTTTTGTTTGTTTTTAAACCTAAACTTCATTTGATTATATCAAAACGTTATTCAAATGATGACCAAAACAAAACTGCAGACAGCCCCACAGGTTTTCGGGTTTTTTAATTATTTATTAGCTTTGATTTAAGGTGTGTACTACTACTCCAGCTGGGTAAACCACATTGCAGAATCTGACTGCGGGTCTTTAGATTCAGCCAAACGTTTTCCATTACTTTTGCTCTATAAAGTACTAAACATTATAATTAAGTTTTTAATACTTCAGCCATGCTCAGAAAGCTGCCGAATCAGGATGTACTGAACCCACTCATGCCAAGTCAGGGCGAAAGGACAGAACGAATGAGGTATGCTGTTTAAAAGAATCAAGCTGAAGATGAAGAGAGGTTCTGTCCCCTCAAACTGTTAGTTTTAAAATTCAGCCTACACTGTTCTCAAGACACTGAAAACGTCAAAGTTCTTTAAAAAGTACCACACAAATACGCAACCTTCCATGATTTGTTTTGCGCTAAGCTGGCATAAGCAAGGCTTCTAAAGTCCATCTATCAGGCTTAAGTTTCATAAGAGAAATCATTTCATTTTCTACTCGTGGGTCTTAGGGCTATTTTGTGCTTGAGCGGCACACCAGAGAGCAATGGGACAGAGAAGGGGGAGGAAGTTAAGGGGAAAAGGTGACCAATAGCATTTGAGATTAAATGCAACGGAAAAAAGTAACAAATGCTAAAGTTTTTTAAAAGTTTAATAGAGCCAATAAGGCATATAAACTGTGTTCTGGCAGACATTTAAGACCTGCCTTCTCTCACCAAAGAAAATGGCACACGTTTTATCAAAATTTGACAATTGAAAGTAAGGGGTACTGAGAAGCTTCAGAGCACCAATTTAAACAAAAACAAAATAATGGTATTCCACTTCAAAAGAGGAACTAGAACCAAGGCATAAAGGGGAGATTAAATGTTTCCTCGATTTCAACAGCCTTTAAGAATAGGAACTCTGACCACTCACGAGCAATGCCTCACACCACCAAACCCCAATTCCAGAGTCTAATTTTACAATAGAAGAACAAAGGTAACTCCAAATGCATTTCTTGGTATATTCCAAAGGAAAGACTGAAAGTATTCATAATACACAGACTTGCCCATTTTAGGTGAAAGATGACAGATTGCTATAATTCTTCCTGCTATGATATTCAAACAAACAAACAAAAAGATCCACTTTTGCAAAAATTTAGAAACACCTCACTTACATTCCTACTTTTAGTATGGAATTCACTTTTTTAAATAAGGGCTATATCTATAATGAATACAGAACTTCAGTTTATACATTTCTAACATCCCATTCGCATCCCACCCAGTCAATGCATATTATGGTTAACTTAGCAAAGTTTCTTCACAGAAAGGTATTATTAAACGGTTGAAGAAATTGCAAATTTTAACAAAGTGCTGTGAATAATTACTGAAAAAAACCCTTACACTGATTTGCAATGGTCTTTTAAGGGTTAAAAACAGGAAGTAACTGATACTGGACTACAAGTTTGCAAGGATACATTTTCACTGTCCTATGTGATATATAATGATAGAATAAATTACAGTACCTGGCAGGCTGACATGAGTTCTTCGTCTACAGAAGACTATCATTCAGTTCAAGATATTAAAAATGAAGATGAACATGCTCTAAAACACTGCAGCTACAAGAGGTCTTATATCTACTCAAAAGAGGAATCCATTGAGAACTTTTATTTAGGTCTACCTAACATTTAGAAGCCTCCATGCGATTCCATCTCTTCCAGAATGAGATTCCAAACTGCACTTTCTAGGAGAGGAACTGGAGGGATAGGGAGAGTTGAGTTTTGCTATTTAAGCTGCAATCACATTATTAGCAGATAAAACAGACCTTTATCTTCCTTCCACTCATTCCAATGGAAACTGCACAAAGTCAGGCATTCGTAAAAAACATCAAACAGGACACAAGACTATGCTACTACCCCACACCATCCATCTCCCTCTCACCAATACTGAACCCAAAAGGAAGCCCATTCTCAAAGTGCGTGAATGACCTCTCTAGGTCACCCTGAATGCAGTCTACATGTTTATACTTACCATAAGGATGGAAAGTAGTACTTGTCTTAAAACTGAGTATTTTAAGCCTATGGGGTTAATCAGGGGTCAGTTTAATAATATTGCTATTTTTAGAGCACTAACACACACAAAGTGAATCCAGTAGAGTTCTGTGTATTGATTCAATATTAAGTATTAATTGCATGACCATCATAGCACCTCTTTACAAACACACAATCACCAGAATTAGAAACTGCTTTGAAAACTAAAAACAGGGAACAGTCCAATAATGAGGAGTTGCACACTGTTACTCTATGGAAACCAGGTGCATGGTACAGTGCTGCTGCAGAAATGGAAGCCTGCAGATTTGGCAAGGAAGCCAAATCGTGTTTTTAGACAATTTTAGGAGACAGGCAATACTGTTGAAGCAAAATACTCAACACAGCAGGAAATGAAGGACAAAAAAAAAAAAAAAAAATGTTTGAGTGACTGAGTATGTATTGCCAGGCTCTGTTAATCACTGTATGTTTTAAAAAAAAAAAAAAAAAAAAAAAGCATTCTATAACCAAATAAACATCTGATATTTCCTTTCCCTTTGAGAATAAATACAGTTAAGGTCACTTTTAGCCTTGGAACGGATATATGTTTGCCTATGATGATCTTGCTAATGACTACACAATTATCTCAATGTCCTCTGCTAGGATTATAGTTTTAAGAAAGCCATAGTTACAAGAGGCATCTACCGTAAATACCTAGAACTTCCTTTTATGGCAACCACTATAGAATTCACTTGTCTTAAACAGTGAACAAGGGAAGATGGCCTCATGTTTCCTTTGCAATAATAATAAATGTTGAGGATCAAGTGGCTTTCAAGCAGCATGGTGGGTGTGAAAATGTTTGCAGTTTAGATCATTCTGTTGCGTTTATGGGTTGGTGAGTCTGTAATGACATCGCCACACTGGGCTGAGGTACGCTTTCTAGTTCCACCATTGTCCAAGTGGAGTGCCATTTCTTCTGATATGAAAGTGTTCAAATCGACATCATGGAGTCCATTTCTCCTTCGACTAGCATTCGATCCACTGCTTACATGTGTAGGAGAGCCTGGGGTACTCGAACGCACGCTTATACTAGCCATTGCACCACTAAGACCTAGGAAGAAGAAAAAAGGTTTTAGAGTTGCTCGATTATTTAACCCTTTTGAAAGCAACCCACTTTACTTTCCATGTCGTTAATAGTGTCAAAAGATGTCTGCCTATTTTCCTTGTAAGGGGTCACCAGGGAGCAGTCAAGTTTTACTCTATAAAACCCAATCATCTGGTCTTGACATATGAGATGTTTTATTGGCAATATTACCAGTATTCACCATACTGGTAACTAGAGTAAAATTCTCCCTTCTATTTGGTAGGGACTGTATGCAATTTACAGGTGAAGACATGAAGTGCTTGCTCTGAACAGAACATTCTGGTCATCCAGTCACCATCCCAGGAGTTCCGTGTGTGTGTGTGCGCGTGTGTGTGCGTGTGTGTGTGTGTGTAGAGGGGCAAACAATCATTTCCAGGCTTGACTGGGCTTGTCCCGATGTCCCTTCTAGATAAGGTGACCATATAATTTCATCATCCAAAATGGTACACTACTGAGCCCAAAAAGGGGATAATTAAAAATTATGCCAGGACACTGTTGGCCCCCAGGACTGTGAGAAAATAAATTTCTGTTATTTAAAAGCCACCTCCCTCCCCACCCCCCAAAAAAAAAATCATGCTAGGACAACAGGTGCAAAGTAGGCCTGCCCTTACAAATCAGGCTGTATGAACACAGGTCTGGACTGCATGTACTGGGTAAGTCCAAGAACAACTTAACTCAAAGTTGTCTACATATAATCCTTGAGAAAAGCAGAGAGGGCAAGGGTAGTGTAAAGAATTCTGCTGCTTTGCTTTCAAGGTTAAAAGTCATTAAATCCAGCATATACCCAGCACTCATTCCTTGGACTCTTAAACAATTAAAGTGTCCAACCTAAGTTCTGCTCTTATATGTTCAGGATTACCTTAAATCTGTGAAAGGCATGAGTAAGGCTAGAAAACAGATACTATAGCACTGAAAGACCTAACTTCACTGACAGAAGATTGCTCTCCTTATCAATTTCCTCTGTCGATATTCTAACCTCACACAGGGTGTTTGTTATTGCTTGAGTAAATTTATATAACCAGATCTAGTACAATCAATGTTTGTAAATAGGATTTGTGTCTTAGATTTTAAAATAAGTTTAGAGGCGTGATTTGGTAGGGGCCCATTTGTTCTAATATGCTCAAATTTTGTACTCTGTAAATATGTGGTTTAAATTTGAATGTTAACCAGAAAAAGAACTCTGCTCCCTATCACATCAAACCTGCTAAATTCCCTCATTCTACAAATACTCTGTGGACAACATTCTCAAACCACTGGCCTCAGCCACCTCCCACATGCTGCTGATGTTCTCTAGCCCACACCTCTCTTCTAAACTGCACTCTAAACCCCCTATTCCAGAAACCTATTAATCTTCTAAACTAATCCAATCAACCTCTTACTGCTCTCCCTGCAGGGGACACATACATCCTCCCTCCTGTACTGGTGGCCAGAGGAATATAATACAATCTAATCTTGCCCATCGTTAGCTCTAAACCTTTCCAAGCTAGCACCTATATAAAATAATAAAAGTGCTAACATTGGAGTACTTTCTGTGTCAGGCACTACCTTAAGTACTTTTTAATTTAATGTTCAAAACAAACCTGTGACACTCCATTTTGCAGATGAGACATCAAACTTAAAAGGTTAACAATCTACCCAAGGTCACACAACTAGTAAACCAGAGGTCGGACTCGAACTCAAGTAGAATCTATAGCCCTATTCACTGTGTTACAGGGCTCCCTCTTCAAGGCCTAAATTATTTTAGCAAGACGTTAACTCCAGGGTCAATGGCCCTTGCCTGGTCACCCTCCCCTCCGGCCATCTTCACTCACACCAGTAAGGTGAGCATCAGGCACATCAGGCACTACCAATATTAAATGACTGTAGCTCCTTCCTGCTGGCAGGCCTGCACTTCCTTCCCACCTTCACTTGCCCCTGCCTTCGGCCCACTAGCTCCTCCAGCACCTGCCCTCTGAGGTTTCTTCCTCCTCCTACCTCTCTCCTTTTTCATCTCTTGCTGGCTTCTCTCATGGCCTGCTTGAAACTGCTCCTCAGCCTGCCAGCTCCTTCCTCAGTCACCTTTGCGGGCTTCTCTTCTGGCCCTGACTGGATCGTGTCCCCCAAGATGACCTCCTGGGCTCCTTATCTCACTCACAAGCATCAGTATTTCCCGATCCTGTGCCACAGGGGTAGATATTTCTCCTGAGCTCGGGGACCCAACCACATATCCAGCTGCCAACTGAACTCTGTTCAAACTTAACTTCTTCAAAAGGGAACCTAGCTTCCTCTTCCCCAGCCCGCACAGGTTTGGAAACGAGGAAGGAAGAGAATCATCTCTGGCCAGCCTTATACAGCATGTTACAAGCATCTGTCTCTCCCTACGAACAGTGTCTTTACCTCTCTATCTAATGAACTGAACACAGTGCCTGGCACGTAACATTCAGTGAATTCTTGGGGGAAAAAATGCTTCGAAGTCCGACCTCCCATTGTGAAATCCAAAGCTTAGCTGTGATGTTTATTCACTCTCCAACTCCTCGAAATAAACCCAGGCAGCTCACTTCACTTCAATCATTACCATCAAGTTTCATTATTCCCAAATTGGTTTTTTCTTTTTTTTTTTAAGTTCTCCAAGACCGCCAGCACATTTACCCATGCCTTCCTTTTTTGCTAATCCTGAAGCTCATGCCATACTACTAACAGGTGTCCACAGACTTTAAATCATCACCTTTTGGTACTTGTTTCCTAAGGCAGGAGGCTCTAATTCTGGCATTCAGCAATAAACTGGCCTCCTTCAGTAATTAAGCTCAGGATCCCGTTTCTCACTTGAGAGGACAACCAGAACTCAACAGTGCTCTTCTTGGTAATGTGGACGTCCCGTGGCACTATGCTTATCACCTATGACAAATACCCATGGATCATAAAACATTGTTATGAGTGGTCTAGGCACTTCAAGCAAAGGTGTTACTTCAAGCCAAGGTTTCTTATTCTAATCACTCTTCTCCATGAAAAAGGTATTAAACATCAATGTGGTCAACTGGAAAATCCAGCAGTAATTTCTGAAAAGTCATCATCTTTTTCTGTTGGGTATATGACTTAGGGTTTAATTTGACAACTAAAGATCTCAATGTGCAACATTACCTACTTATTATTTATCTACTCTCATAGCAATGAAAATTCTTTTCAAAGTTCGCTATCTTTCCCAAAGTCTTTGCAAAAATGTCAAAAAATTAACATTAACAACCAATATATATATATATATTTTAAACAGCCCAAATTTTATTTCATAAACCAATTAACAGCTACTAGAAGATGCTTTAGGAAACCTTGGCTACACCACATGAATAGTTAGGACTATACAAGTACAGAAAATCTAAGCATGCTTCAGAACGGAAAAAAAAAGTTGTATGTGTCAAGAGCATACAACTTAGTTTCTACCAAAACACACTTTTTCGAAAGGGCTATGGGAATATCAATTGACAAAGGCAGCACAACAAGTAGTATGATTAGACAGAAAAGTCTCCATTGCTTAATACAAGATAAACTTATCAGTTTTAAAGTTTCTGCATCCACTTTAAATGATTAGTGTCAGAGTGTGGGAGGAGGAAAAAAGATTAGGATGATTTAATCAAACTTGCAAAGAAAACTCCCACTGGAGCTAAAACAAATTTACAGTCCAGGTTAAAGGAATCTGAGTTACATGGTAATGAAATTATCAAAAGGAGCACATAGCTATCATCAAGTTCATGCTTGGGGTAATAAGCAAATTCTGTTTTTCAGAATTAATTACATTTAATTCCAGTTTCCCAACACGTAGGTCACACACAGGCAGAGAAAGAACAAATTCAGAGCCAGTCCGTCTTACTTCCTCAGCCCAGGAGCCAGGAGCCAGGTGCCTGGAGGCTGCATTCAAGCTCTCTTACTCGTTCCCACCCCTTAAAGCCCCAGGAGAGAAGAGGGCTATAGCCCTGGGGGAAGGCACTGTTGATCCTCTGCAGATCTGCTCCACCAGTTTTCTTGCCTCCCGTAGAAAGGGGGGATCTGAAATCCCCACAACTTCAGCAAAGTGATTAAGGCCTGACCGAAGCCCTAGGAAATCTGCATTCGTGGTATTTGAAATGAATTGCACTATTCAAATGTACAGCACTCCCTCTGCACAAAGTTGTGTTTGGATGTGATAAGCCAAGCATTCGTGTGTAACTGTGGTGTTTTAAATGTACCAGTTCATGTAAAGAAATACTACTAGGAAGACTTTGGTCATTTGAAGTAGATATCACTCCCCACCCCGATCTGTAAATTGTAATACTGAATTTTTATTGAAGTAAAAGCACACTAAATCAAACCAATTACAAAGATACATGTGATCAAACCAAGAAAACATTTTCAGTTATGCTGACAGCCCAAAATGCTTTGTTTTTCAAAGACAGTTTTTAATGCCATGGGAAAAATGCTCACGACGTTAAAATGAAAAAAAAAAAAAGGCAAGATACAGTACCATATATGTAGTATGATCTCAACTATGAAATAACTCTGTATTTATACATTGAAAAAAGACTGGAAGAAAATGCACCAAACATTTAACTGTGGTTATCACTGTGTAGTAGGATAACAAGATGCTGATTTTCTTTTCTGAAATTTTCCAAGAAATGAATATTTATAAATCAGAAAACTAGTGAAATAAATTAAACCCAGATATTAAACTGCTTCCTAACTGCAGTGAATTACTAAACAGGTGCTAGTTGAGTAAGCTGGCTTTAGGTAGGGCTGCATGACCTCTTTTTTCATCTCAATGGAAAAAAAAGTCCAAGAAAACAGGATTCTAGGTTCCAGACCATTTTGTACCATCGATGTTGGAAGCTTTAGTTAATAGTCCCACCCCGCAAAACGTCAGTAATGAACACCTAGTCTGTCATACAGAAAACGTCAACTTTTCATCTAAAGTTCAATGATATCTTAGTTGCCTTATGGTTCTAGTTCTCAAAGGCTGGTTT